GGAGGGGGGCAGTCTAGTAGGCATTTCACCCGCTGATTTAACCAGAAGACATGGCTGGAAGAGCGTGTGGTTTAAGTTTCCCTTCTCAGAGTGCTTGATACTAAACTCTGGGACGCAGGGGGGAGTCAGAGCCTGCTCAGGTTTCATAGCCAGGGACGCTCATGGATTTAGCCAGCTAAGCCTGGCTGCCCGCCTCACCCTACATACAGCCAGAGGGAGGTGGTACTGTTGCCAGCCTAGCCTCATAGAGCAGTGAGGCGAGCACTGTCCCTCTAAATGTGAGAGCCTCAGGTTCAAAACCTGCCTTGAGCGAATACAGAGCCAGGATTTGAATCCTTACTTTACACAGTTTCTAATCCAGCGGTGCTTAGACTCAAGGCATCCCTCATTAGACTCCAGCTTCCCCCTCGGCAAACCTTAGCTTTCACTTGTTTTTTGACAGTGGGAAAAATAATAAAGCAGTTCTGTTGCAAAGAACTCAGAAAGCCCACAGCAGGTCACAATGGCATTGGCATGGTAGGTTCCTATTGGAAATCTCTGTGATTTATCTTGTGAATCACACCTAGCATTACATGGCATCCCATGGCATCCTTAAAAGTGTCTCTTAGCACCCCAGAGTGTTTTAGCACCCTGACTGAGACTGACTGCCCTATGCTGTGGGTGCTACCATATGCTGCAATGGTGCACTTGCAGTCTCTCCTGTTGAAGCTGTTCCATTTTGTGTAAAATAAAATGTTCACTGGGAAGGTGGAGGGAGGGGGGAGAGAGATGTTTTTAAAACTTCATTATAAAATTATTAAAATCATCCAAGGTTGTATGGATCAGCTGAATGGGAGGAGGGCATATGCAAGGGCAGGGTGCATGGAAGTCAGTTTTCCCAGACTTGTTTCTTTCAGCTCCTTGCTTTGCCTGGGGTGGGCTTTCCATCTACTTACATTTAAAAATATTTTCTTCAGTGGCTTGCACTGGCCAGGCAGCCCCAGGCATTGCTACCAGGACAGCTTGTGCTGGTGAGGTTATATAGCTAGTGCCTTAAGAGAGACATGCTGAAATCATTCAAGAGAAAATGGCCTTTACACATCAAAAAGGATGAGGTGGGGGTGTGGCTAATTACATCTCCTGAGATGTGAGTTCAAGCCCAACTCTGGCGTCATGCCGCAGGCTGTGGAGCTGTGGGGACACAGGTTACTAACACTTGTGTGCTATAACCAGGTTAGCCTTAGGTGGACCCTTGGCTTGATGGTATTAGTAGCACTTTATCTAGTGACCATTTACTGCTTACTGCTCAGTGAGTGTAAGTGCTGAGCAGGAGGATGTAATCAGCAAAAACATTATTACAGATTTGTGACACAGCGAGGAAACAAATTGAAAAGCCCTTCTCCATCCTTCTTTTTCTGTATGTGCCTTTGTAGTATTAGGGAGCAGAAGCATTGGGAGCAGAAGCCAGGACTCCCTGCCCCTTAGGAGAGTACCCCGCTCACTGGGTTGCACCCAGGCTGTATGCATCTTGCTTGCTATCCTAATCCCAGGGATCCTTCATTCCTTCTGCTCAGTGGGCCAGCCTCAACCAGCCAAATGGAGTGTGCCCTCAGCCCTACCTGAACTGTGGCCTGGTGGGTAGGATACTTCCTGGGGAAGTGGAAGGTATATGTTCAAGCCCCTTCTGAGTGAAGGGACCTAGCGTCCAACTCTCCCATTTCCTGGTAAAGTTTCCTAAACTTCAGGCTGTTGGCAAAAGATGGGTTAGTTGCTTCCTCAGGATGGATCACAGTTAGTGACTTAATCACGTAAGTACAACATGGGTACCTTAGTAGTAAAATAGCATCTGGGCTTGTAAGCATATTTATATGGAGTGGTGCAGCAACATACTGTGCAAAGCTACTCAGGCTAGGTAGGGAATCTGAATGACTGCAGTAGTGCAGCATTGTGCTTGGGATAATATGTCCTGCATTGCAGCAGGGCTGATTAACCTTGGTGGAGTGCCAAGCTAACATAGCTGTATTGCTTCTGGTACCTGAGCTAGGTCATGGAGAGATACTTTACCTGCCTCTCAATGGCATATAGTTATACCTTGTGTTTCTACACTTGCTAGAATGGTTGCTCTGTACAGAGAGCTAATTTGATAGCTATGATAGCTTAGGGTTCATTAGGAAACAAATATAAAGTATTACACACATGCATGTACACATACACACAAAATTATAAAATATAAAACTATATAAAAATATGCAATACACATTATTATATATAATAAAATATGTGCATATATACACACACACACACACCCTTATATAATGTGTTGTTTTTTTCAGACAGCTTTTATGCCAAAAAAATGGGCATCATATTATATGGCAAGGGAAAGAGTTGGATATTCAGAAGGAATGGCTTTTGACATGCAAAATAAGGAAGTCTGTTTAGAGTGAGACAAGCAACCTTTACAGTATTATTTAACTAGTACCTCACATTTCTCAGGATAAAAAAATATAGGGATTGAACAATGAGAAATATAGAAATCAATGCATGGGGCACTCATGGCAGTTGTGAGATTGTACTTGAAATACAAGTAGTCAGAATAATTGGCTATTTATTAACACAAGGTCCTGTGGGAATATTTCTGGGATTTTGAAGTCAGAATAGTCATGCTAAAAAAAAAAAAAGTAGCCTCCTATTATTT